GTGGGGCCTGAACTCTGGGCCTGGGTGCTGTCCCTCAGCTCTTCAGCTCAAGGCTAGCGCTCTATCACCTGAGCCACAGCGCCACTTCCGGCTTTTTTCTTATGTGGTGCTGAGGAATTGAACCCAGGGCCTCATGCATGCAAGGCAAGCACTCTACCACTAAGCCATCTTTCCAGCCCCATTCAAGTATTTTTTGCCCCTTGACTTGGTCACTGAAGTTCTTAGGTTAGCACCAAGTTCATGTAAGTCCTTCCTCTTTCCTTATTTCAAAAGGCCAAGTATACCAAATAACCATCTAGTTTAGAAATGAGTTCTACTCACTCACAGTTTATAGTAGGTGCCTGTGTTTGCATATTTTACATGAGCCAACTACTAAAATATTTTATTAGACTTTGTGAGCTAGATTGTTTTACTGACATTTCTCTGCTCCTGTTGTGGCTGTATTTTAATAGTTATTTGGAAAAAAACAGGTGTTACAGTGGTTTGCTAGCTACCAATTTATAAACAAAACACATATCCTTCCAAAAAAGTTCTGATGTGTATTACAATACAGGTTACGTAATTAATTAATACAATTAGAAAGATTCCCAGATGAGCAAGAAAAACTATCCATATTAAAAAAAAAACTTTCAGCCCAGACACATTAAAAACAAAAAAGTATCTGAGAAATCAGCTGGGGCTCAGGCAGCTCATGCCTGTAATCCTAGCTACTTAGAAGGCTGAGATCTTGAGGATGGAGGTTCAAAGGTTCAAAGCCAGCCCCAAGAGGAAAATCTGTGCTACCATGATCTCCAATTAGCCACCCCAAAAAAGCTGGAAATGTAGCTGTGGCTTAAGTGGTAGAGAGCTAGCCTTGGGCACAAAATGCTCCGGGACAGCACCCAGGACGATGTGAAGCCCCAGGACCGGCACAAGAACCACAAAACCCAAAAACCAATCTGAGGAAATCAGTCAGCCTCAGTCGGTACCTGATGAAGTGCATGCTCCGTCACTACTGTTTTCGTCTCTACATCCCAGATCTTCACGGTTCCATCGTCTGAACTGGTGGCACAGAGGTGGTACTGACCGGGGTGATGAGAAAATGTGAAGCCGGAGACCTTTTCGGTGTGTCCCACCAACTCTCCTATGACTTGAGGCAAAAAGCAGACAGCGAGGTGAAATCGCTGGCGAAGAAGCTACACAGAATCAATACTGTTGAACGAGGGAGCAGACAGGGTTTTTTTTTTTTTTTTACCGAATCTTACGTATTGAACAAAAAACACCCACAGACTCGTTAACTAGAACCCCCCCCAGTACTGCTACTACCTCTGCCACCGACCCAGATTAAGTCCATCTGCTTCACCTTACAGACCCTGCCTGGGGCCTTGCTGCTGCAGGCAGCTCCCGGGCTCTCAGGAAGTCTCCCACGGGGGGGTGATCGGGGTGGGGTGGGGGAGCAGATCCGTGCAAGGTTTTAAATATCCCGGCCAGTTTTTCCTCCCAGCCAGCGGCGGGGCTCCACGTGCGGACGGCCGGAGGCGGGAACCGGGCCCGGCGCGGCCGACCCCTCCGGGAAGAAACCCGCCCTCCAGGCCTGGGACCCGCGGCCGCGTGGGGACGGGTGTGTGTGTGTGTGTGTGGCACCCGGAGGGCCCGGGCACACAAGGAGTGGGGCCTACTTACCTCGAAACGGGGGCGTCCCCGGGATGGCACCCGCACCCGGGCCCACGCGGACCAGGAAGACGGAGGTCCGCGCGGCGAAGCCGAAGAGGCCCCCGGGCACCGCGTCGCTGCAGCGGGTGCAGTACCAGTTCGGAGAGGGCGGCAGCGTCCGCGGCTCCAGCCCCATGACCCGCGGCCAGACACGATGGGAACCAGCAACCCAACGCACCCCGCCGGCAGAGGAGGAGGCGGGACCCGCACCGACCTGACCTCCCCGCCTTCTTTTTCGGGCGGCCGCTACGGCAAGCGCCGAGGCTCAGCCGTAGCGGCTCAGCCGTAGCCGGCGTACGCGCGTCACGTCATTCCCGCTTCCGGGGCTGGGTGGGTCCCGGCGCGAGCGTGTGCGGCAGGAGGTTGGG